CTTCGCTGAAGGCTATAGTGCAATCCCTACAGCCTTGAGGAAATTGCTATATCTTGTCACGAAATAGGAATTGCTCCACAATTCCGATTTCGTGAGAACATATAGCAATGAGGACCCGCTGGATCCAACTGTGAAAAGCAATTCTTATATTTCCTAGCAAAGCTGAGAATACGGTTTGCTTCAAGATTGCCACCCCTGTGTTGGTATGCTAGCGTATTGTTTGATCTACAGTGGTCAGTGTTTGTGAATGAGCGCCAGTGCGCTTTAAATTCTAGCCTTTTTTCTGTAAATTTTAAGTTGTTTGAGGCAAGAAAGAGGTGATATCGATGAATTTCGCTCAGTTTGCGTCAAAACATCAAAAGTATTCCCTGCACACTCACTGTTTTCATCACCATCACAATGATATCAAAGGGTTTATATTATTATATTTTGTGAACTGAAGACCAACACCAATATTGAGCAACGTTTTATCCACAAATACGTTCAATCCAAAGAATGCAAAATAAAAATTATAACACAACAATACAGAAAGGTATTTGTCAGTTACAATTCACAATATTGACAAGCGAAAAGTATTGATAAAAAGTGATTGTTTGAAAATGAACAATTCTGACGGAAAATTCGTGAACAAAATATCTTTCATCAACACAAAACACAACAATATTTCAGTTCAAAAATTTGGTACACACATAAATTATTGCAAATAATATGACATTTCGAATGACTGTTCAAATAAAACCAATTAAATTTAGAAATTAAAGATCGCATTAACTTCTCTCTTCTTCAGGATTCATATCGCCTAAATTCGACGCAACAAATTTCTCATAGAGTTGCGCCTTTTTCCTTTGCAGAATCAGCTCTTCGATCTCCTTTTGGGATGGTACCACAACGTGTTGAACGAACGTTTCTTTGCCATCGTCACCGATCAAAATCGATTTCTTCGTATCCAAATCTTCATCCGAATCCTAAATGTGATTATCATAAATGACAGATCACACGCAAGATCATTGATATCCTCTTGATATCCTTAATCTCTATTAAATTGAAATTAACAGAAACAGACACAATCAAATGTTAACTCACATCCTCAACCTTATAGATATCGATATCTTCTTCATATGCTTTTTTCGCTTGCCAAACGTATTTATTCGTCTCCCAATCCTGAAATTATTCAAAACATGTATCAAACAAACGAGTCAATGAATAAATGTATAAATCTCCCAAAACTTCTCGGCATTCAACAATGAATCTTGCAACTGAATGAATCTTCAGCCATCGCACTACCTTCTCGGCCTGTTCTCGTGCCTTCACTTCAGCATCCGCTTCCAGTGGGATCAACAAGCCATCGTCATCGTCCATATAACCGTAGTAATCAGCATCGACGAATTTGATCAGTTCAGCGCGATTCTTTCGGTTCGCGTCCACCTCGGCCTTCTCGAACAGCTCGCGAACACCCGGTAGGTCTTTGGCAGCGCCAAAGTACTTATAGCCTCGATTGCCGGCCACCTCGCGACCGTCCCGATCCAACTCTTTCGGTGCCACTCGTCTGAATCTAAGCAACCATTTTGTATTTGAAAAGGAATGCCATTGCTGTACGATGCACTGCTATTATGCTGTATCAATAATGAAATGAGACAAACAATTGCTGATCGACAGTGATAATATAAGAGAGTATATCAATAAACTGCTTTTTTGGCATTATCACCTATAGTCAGGGCCATCCAACTCCTTGATACGCATCTCCCAAGCATACTTCACCCTCAACAACTTGTTGATTTCATCGTTCAAGTCACGAATCTTGAATTCACCCAATCCAGGATTCTGAATCAACGCAATCTTCTTGGCTATCTCCATTGTGACTTGACGTCGATAGCGTTCCGCATCCTCTGTTACAATATTCATTGTCAATTGCAATCTTCCGCACAGTTTAAATTCACAACATTTTACAATTCTCTGTGTGATTATATCACTTCATTAATTTTATATCTAATTTCATGGGAAAATAGTGAGTGAGAAGTTTTACTAAATGGAACAAAACGCAGAAAATATTCGAAATGAAATGAAAATCACATCTGAGAGTCAATTGGAAAAACTTACTTAGCGTTGTACATTCGCTAACATCGTTCGGTCTTTTGGCCACCGGCCCTTTCTCTTCCTCTTCTTTCATACGACGCCACCTGGCCAACGCAGTCATTGCCTTCTCAGCATTTCGAGCCTTTAATATCATCACTATTCACTTTTCATTTCAACACTAAAACTTCAAATAAAATCCCTCATACAGAAAATCATCTGCACACCACAATTCGATTATCTCAAAATCTTCGCTGTGAAGTGAACACTTTGATGGAATGTATCGTTTCAGAACTATTAATATGTTGTAAAGAAATAGAATTGTTAAATTCGTACCATTTTCAGAAATGCTCTGCACAGTTGTGAAACGACGAGATTGAATTCAACGTGTTCTTACAGCTGAACGGACTCCTGATCAATTGCTGGTAAAAAAACGGCCACGACTCCTGCGTCGCCTTCGAATACTTAGAATTCGTTTACTACTCTAAACGATGAACACTTTACGGACTGATTCTAATCGAGAACTACTTTTACACTCACTTGTTCGCGAATACATTTTAAGTAGTTGATTGGAATCTTGTCAGAAGTTATTTGATAATTCCATCAAACTTATGAATTGCATCATAAATCCCTATAAATATGTAAAATCCTACAAGAAATCGCACACGTATCCCTCATTCACTGTAGAACCAATCCACTCGAAAAGAATAGATACAAAGAGCAATAAAACATTTGATGTTTATTGTATTCTCGATATGTAAACGATTCAAATATTTTCAAATAAGACCACACTAAGCATTGCATCGCAATTTATCAACACACCAATCATATTCAAATAATTATAATATCAATTCATAACGGTCATAATAATAGTAATAATAATAACAGTAATAATAATAATAACCGAACGAACTGAAATAAAACTGAAATTCATCATCGAAACAGCATGCCAACATTCAATTGAATACATTATTACGGAAAGAAAACCCATTCAACTAAAATTACAAAAACAATAATAATAATAATGAGTACATAACAAATTCATTAAAATATATCGAAGCCCATTAAACAGCATTAACAAAGTGTTCAAACTTGCGAACATAAAGACCGACAGAGTGGAGAGATCAGAAATCTTAATTATTCTTCTTTTGATTGGTACAGATTTGAAAATTTATCCGACTGCATCTCTGCCCGTTTTATCTTTTGCAATAAACTTCTACGGTTTCTCTCCCAGTTTCATGTGGATTATGTGAAAAGTTACAATAATAATAACAGTAATAATGATATCAACAGGTAAAGAGATAATAACGAAGGTGATAGTTTTCAATACGATGACAATAATAATAATAACTGTAACAATGAAATGAAAAATAATGAAGTGAATATATTCAACCAAATCAATGTCGCACACAAAACATTTTACAAATTCCATAACATCCCCCACTGAATCAAACTTCTTCAGTCCATTTGTCCCTTAACGTTCCAATTGATCAGCCGGTGTATCGTTCTCCTCCTCATTGTAGATATTATCTGCCATCTGCCAAATCTGCATTATATTATCTTCAGATACTGAGCACACCACCCACGGCTCATTCGGATTCCACGAAAAGTCGGATATCTGCAAAGAAAACAACAAATTAAAATACATGAATGATAAAAATATCTTACAAACAACGCGCAACACACTTTCCATTCAAACAATATTCACTGTAACAAGCTATCTTCAATTGATAGAATAATCTCACATAACAGATAATATTCAAGTTAAGTCCACTTCAAAGAAACGGTTCTCAGTTCAAACAACCCATATCAAATCAACTGTAAACGTGAGTCGATACCTTGGCAGTATGACCCCCATGAATGAACAACAGTTCGGGAGGTCCATCCTCAGCATCCTCAGGCGTTTGTTCCTCTCCAATCTTACTTAAATCCCAGACGTGCAATCTGCGATCCGTACCCGATGAGGCGAGAATGGTCTCGTTATGTGGTGACCATTGAACTTGGAAGATTTCATCTTTGTGCGACTCAAACGAATGCAATTTCAACTTCAAATTCCTTAGATCCCATAAGGCGACTGTCTGAAATGTTCATTGAATTCAATTTTGTAGAGTCGTTAAATTGAATATTGCATTTGCATGACATAATCTTTAGAGAATGCGATATTAACAATGATACCTTATCAGCCGATCCAGTGGCCAGAATGAATTCAGAGTAGGGGTTGAATGACAAGCAGTTCACTTCAGCCGAATGTGCCTCAACTGTATGTGCTGGTTTCGTATCACTGTTGTTACGCGTATCCCAAATCATAAGTTTATGATCATCTCCAACCGACCCAAACACCGCATCGTGTAAAACGTGCCATGCCACATCCTCTACCACTGCATTATGCCCTTTGAAGATCTGAAATAATATCAGTAACACTGTAAATATCAGTAACAAACACAATATAATAAATGAGCAAACCGTTTTTGCATCGATATAATTTGACTGCGCCGTTGCGGTCTGAACATCCCACAAGCAAACGGTCATATCGTCTGATGCTGACAACAAATGCCCAGCCAAGTTCGAGTTCCACGACAAACCGTAACCTCAAATGCACAATTTTCATTTCAATTCACGTTCCTCTTGTGCCGGATTATCTATTAAGTCCAGTGCAAAACGTATCAAGTTTTCGACACCACGGAAAAGATAAACGCAATCAAATGAATTCAACAACAACATTCTATCTGAAATCAGTATAATATAATGATAATCACCCTCTTTGGTATGTCCTCTGAGCCTCAGTTGCGGCTTACACAAATTATCTGCACTTGGCACTGACGGATGTTTGGTGTAGTCGAATATGAACACCTGAAATATTCTGCTCACTTTCAGCGTTTACTCCAAATTCATCCCATACAATAATGATAAATACTACCAACAATTTTAATGTAATAATATAATAATGTTAAGACGCACCTCACTGCTCGGTGACTTTGTGGCTAATAAGACTGGATTCTGAGGCATATAACGTGCTCGATTCACTTCGCCCTCGTGATTCATTTTAATTTCCACATCAATTTTGCCAGTTATCGAGCCGAAACCACCGAATTCTACAACATTTCCGTCATATTCATTCATTTCCAAACAAAAATCAAACAACTAAACAAAGTTGTCGTGCTAACCTCCTTTTTCAGTATCATATTTAGAGGCATCGAACTGCGCATCGTCAGTTGGTAATAAAAGTTTCGCAATCACCAAATGATTCTGTTCATCTGAAGTGTGAGTACCCAATATCAACCGATGCGTTGTATAATCGCTTCCCTCCACTCTGAAATATCAACACCATAAACTTTCACGTAATAATATAAGTTGGAAGATAAGCATAAGAATAATATAAGTTACCTTTGGACATCCGGAAGCCACTGTACAGTCAAACTTGGCCATTCCAACGCATGGGTCATCACCTTTAACGAGATAACGTTTTATTATTGTTAACTGACTAAAGATTCAATTTGTTTGTGTATTGTACGGAGACGGACATGTCCTTTAAATGGAGGAAAATTGACACTGAGATCATTTTTATTGAGAAATCTTCAAAAGTTTGCTGAATTACCCGAATAAATGATGAAGGAATTCACTGCGAGAAAGTACTTACCATATCGTAAAGGAACGGTGTGTTTTTCTTCCATATCTTATACTCCTCATTAATGAGTCTCTCCTCATAACCCTCCTCAGAAGCCATCTTCTTGCGGTACTTTACTAAAAGTCACGATATAATCTCGCAATACGACAAACTCTCACAAATACAAATCCCGGACGCACACAGTCCAATTGAACTATGAGATGATCTTATTCGATCACGCAAAATACGTTAAGATTAAGATGAAATCAAAACTCAACACCGAGCCTGGTCTATTTTTTTGAATGACTATAATAATCAGATGTTCATCGGATTCACAATACGAAAACCGAGCTATCTCAGGAAAATGAGACCAGATAATAATCAAGCAACTTCAAGCAGTCATCATTACTTAACTCACCAAAATTTCATCTCTACCCAACAACTCAACGCTTATCACGTCACAAACATCAAAATCCTTGAAAATTACAAAATATCCGTAAACCAATTGCGGATGTCAAATCCCCTCATTAGAGCAATCGTTGCATTATCGAAATCTATTGGTTTCAGTTTACGCGCGAAGCGATCGTCACCCGAAAAGTTCGTCAAGTTCGAAGTGCTCGGCGAACGACACTCGGAAACGCGCGTAATACGAAAATGGATTAACGAAATCCCTGAGTGTCTCGAATCGCTTTCTCTTTATATGTCCCTCCGTTCAGATACGTCTATGCATGTGTCATTCTGAGAGTGCACTGTTCAAGGGTATTAGACTGAATGTTATGCAATGATTATCTATTCCGCACGAATCATTCAATTATGTGTCGCTTGAATATCTCATTACATATAGATATGATAGCTGTAGCAAATTTCAATTAACTCACATGGTGATGTGATGGTGACGTCGTGGTGCCTCCTCCTTCCTTCATATCATTTGACTGGCTAGCAGTTTTATGGCCTTATTCGCAGAGAGATATGCATACCCATAAACAGACGACATCATCTAATTGCATTTAAGTGTAGCGTAGGACAACTATATAGATGGCACGATTACTTCCCTCTATAGGCTATAACAACGTGCAGGATGTTGATTAGATTATGCATCCATTCATATACACACACAATGTTTCACAATATATATCCAGTCTACTGATGTATTTGTATGTATATCTTCGATATGATAAAATCTGCTATGCGTATAGCATTGTAACTGCAATAAATTTGTATATCTATAATATCCATCTCTTGCATAGATATCCCATTTCTTTGCTGGTGGTGTTGTTTTGCGGTTTACGTCTTCGTATAATGATGATTTCTGCAGATGAATGAAAAGTACGATGACAAGGAAGAAAACTGAAGAATCAATGAAAAAAAAGAGATACGGGAGAATGGCGAAACACCAACGATATGGTGAAGGTTTGCATTCGGGGCAGACACGACGAATTTTATGGAAACAGTGTTGTTGATTCGGTGGGTGTGAGCAGTGAGGAATAAACGAACGTTCGACGAAGGCCAAGCCAAGCCGCCGCATGCGGTCGATCGGTTTTACATCGTTAGGCGTGATTCATCTCTCGGCATCCCGAGAAATGGAATCCTTATTTCTTTCTATTTGATTCATCGCACTCCATAGTGTATACCTACGTATAGTACTTATTCATTCTAGTGCTCTTACTACTGCTTCGTCAGAAAAAATAAAATGAAATGAAATAAATTTCAAGTTTCATCTCAATACAGCAGCTGAAGCAAGCAGTTTTTATTGCTGTTCTTAATTATTATATAGCTCAGCCACCAGAGGTTAACAGCAGCCTCGATTGCCGATCCCAAGTCCCAAAAGAATGACGACCAGGGTTACGTCAGGAAGGGCAGGGCATTCCATCGAAATTACTATTACTACAACTTTTAAAAATCCACTTCCCTGATCTCTGGTGGCTGAAGATAAATGGAAAAAATTTTGATCTTTTGTAGATATATAAAAAAAACAACAATGACCAATTGATATTATATAATCAGGTATCAAGGGCAAGGCCATAGCTGCAAGGTATACGATAGCATCTTATTAAGACTCATCTCATCTCATCGTCTTCTTACATCTTATGATCATTTTCAGCAGTGAATAATCATTTCTTCTCTGTCAATTCCTTTCTATGGCAACGAACCATCCATCCATCTAAACAACTCAACCTTGCATTCATTTCCAAATAACAACAACAAATACTTTATTTCTTTCTGTAAAATTGTTTATAGAAGATGCCGCCGATTCACTCGCTATCGTCATTTCTCTGTTCATTTCGAAATGATTTGGTTTGATTCATCTTAAATTCAAGTTACACTCGCTCGTGTTATACTACTCAGCAACTAATTATAAGTGCATTCATTCTTCGAAGTGCTGCTGCGTAAGATGTAAACGAAATCATTTGATTATTGCTTATTGTTAGCTTGTTCTATTGCTTTCAATTGCTTGTTTGCATATTTGAATGTGTCTGTCTGGCTATCAGCTATTGTTTTACACACATCATTCGCAGTTCAACAATTGAATGAATATTCTGATAACATTGTTGCATACGAAGCGATTGGTTATTTCAGGTTATGGTCTTTTATTCTTACTTTATATTCTTTTCTTAATTATTACATTCTTAATTGGCATTTTCATTATATCCATTGAATTTCAATGGAATATATTCTTAATTGCATTACTATATTCTTATTATTATTATGTTCATACTGATAAGACAATAATCATTCTCATAAATATCGTAATATTATAGCATTTTGCATGGTGCAGTAGTTAGCTGTTTTTTCGCTGTATGCTTGATTTCATTTATTTGCATGTAAATTTTATTTTTTTACTATTGAATGATCTGATTTAATAATTTTTTTCTATCGGCTTTCGTTTCGTTTCGATGCATTTCGATGATCATTGATGTGCTGGAATGCTGAACTTGATAAGACTGTAGATAAAACTGCGGAGAGATAGATAGATATATTTGATTTGTTTTATTGTTTCGTGTTATTGCATGTATATTTGAAGAATTGCAAAGCTTTACATATTTATTGATGTGTATGTGTATGTTGATGTGTACATTGAAGTGAAAGTGCATGCGCAGATAAGCTTCTTTTAGTTAGGACGCATGAGAATGAATGAATAGAGCGCAGAGGTTTGTTGGGCGATTAGCAAGAAATTTCAGTTTTGTGGGGATGATTTTGGGTGTTTGTGTTGTTTGTTTATTGTTTATTTTGATTGTTTACTTCGTACTGCTTGTAGACAACAGTTATGGTGTCTTTTCGGATAGTACTGTGATTTGTCAGTTTTGTTGATTGAATTGTTTACTTTGTTTATTTATTTATTTGTTTACAATCAATTGAAAACAAGAAAAATAACGGAACGAATGATACGAATTCGAGTGCATCTCATATGAAAATAAATAAAAATGAGAATACTCCTCTTGCACATTTCAACTTTAAACGCATTCCTCATGAGTTTTTTTTTGCAATCTCTCACATCCTTTAAAAAAAGTTTC